TGCAAGCATAGCAAACGAGTCAATAGAATTAGGCGGTAAATTATGATACCATATCATAACACCCTTTGATAGAGTCTCCCCGAATTTCTTCAGCAAGACGGATTCGATCTCGTCATCTTCCAAGTCATTCCTTTGATAGCACACGTGTAGGAGGTGACGTGTTCGTTTGGATCAGTCGTCCCATTATACTTATAAATCTCGGGCATGCGAAACTTCTTGGGGATTGGATTCGGAGCCGCACTCGGGAGGAAAGGTTTTTGTACGAACTTTTTGGAATCCAGTCCTTTCAATATTGTTGGTGCCCCCGGGATTTGGTCGACCCTGCAGTTAAAGGTTTCCACCTTTTTGTCTTTTTCCTCGATCTTCTTTTCCACTGTCTCGATTCACTTTGTCAGTTCTTCGAGCATCTTTATGATAGCAGGATTGGTCTTCGATTCCTTCTCGTTCGATTTCCTCGAAACCGATTCGAACCTGTGTACGATTTCCTGGGATGGCTCGAGTTCAACCCTGCTCGGTGTGTGGTTCTGGTTTTGGAGCTGGGCTATTGCTGACTGTTGAGCCTACAACATTTCAAAGATCACCCGCAGGCTGATCCCGCCATCTTCACCGCCACGTGTGCTCTGAGTACTTGATCGGGCATCCCCGTGGATGCTGCTTTCGGGATCGACGGCCAAATTTCTATTGATGGCTACATGTGAACTGACGTCGATTGGATCTACAGCTGGAATTCCATCGAGGCCAACGTGGGGTACATCGTTTCTTGGTGCAACGTTCCCATTATCGCCATGGTGGCCGAGATCATTGTCAATGTGTTGAGGTACTGACTGAGAGTTTGACATTTTCTTAATCCTGTAATCAAAGATACTTCAAGGAACAAGTGTAAAATAGTGTGTGTTACGAAAGTTTGTACCAGATAACCACTATTGTCCTTAGCCCCACTGTGGGCGCCAAATTGTTTACCCTAAAATCGGATAACAATTGAATTTATACACGTTTTTAAGGACACATGATATAACTTGTACAAATTAAGAAGAATAAATTAGTATTGATATTGACAGTGAAAGAAATAATGCAAACCACACGAATTGAACAGCCTTGGCCTTCGAGTTCAGTCACCCTTGAACCAAATATGTTTCAACTTGCTTATGAACAGAATAACAAGATAATGAGAGCTAGAAAATGACAGTATATTGCTTACTATTGCGTGAATATGTTGTGTTTAAAAATGATTAGACTCCCCTATATATAGTAGGGAAGTCCTACTCGAGGTACAATTCTATATGAGGTAAGATCCCATGATTGGCTAATTAATCGGCCTCTTCTTGATACGTGCCGGGATTCGCGACGTGATCCTCCTCCGATTGCGAATATTTTGACTTTCCGTTATTCGACTTGGTAAGCTTCCCTCTATCCCTATTTTGTTCGGTCTCGATCTTGATCGGCCTTAGGGCCACGAGCTCGGCAACCTAACTTTGCATCATGGGTCGATATAATACGAGGCTGAACATTGACTTATCGCGTTCCAGTCTCGATCAGTCATACAAAAAGGGCAAGCCCGATTTTAACCGTATACTACTATAAAATGATTAGTATTGCCATGAAATTTAGTTGGTCAAGGACCGCAACTGACATAATAAAAATTACCGTCAGAATATGGAAATGATTTGAATTGGAGGAATAAATGGTAAACAATTCCTAAAGTTCTTATTGTGCAAAGTAGAGTACACTTTTGTGAAATTTTTCCATCTATTAATCTTCAGATCTATTACACTGAGAATGTACAAAACAAATATTTTTTTTGGTTACATATTTATATTTTTCTTAAAGTTAAATATTTATATAATTAATGATAATTACAGCTAGTAGAAGGAAATTTTTATGTTGGATTGTTGGTAATGGCGATTTGCCAGCGATGGCCTTAGGGTGGCATAAAATGTGCAAAGAAAATATTTGGAAGTTAGTAAAGACCTGCCAGTCAAAATGAGTCCCCGAGACAACATTAGCTTCCGCTTGCTTAGCTGACAAAGCTAGCTCACTAAGGCAGTTTATTTTCGAGATAATTTTATATAAGTACAACTCACACACCTGCATTACAACATAATAGCCTAGATACTACTTTGCAAATCTATAGCTCAAAAATAATCGGCTAATTCCCAAAAAATAACTTATTTCACTCAATCAACTATGGTTATTGTTCCCTCTTTATACAACCAGTTGTTTTCATATTGATTTTCTTTCAATATTAGGCATTTGATAAAAAAAAATACAAATCAGTCACAACGCAACTCAAAAATCTGAATAATACATATTATCTGAAGGCAAGAAATTCAAACACTTTTATGTGCAATTGCTGAAGCAATCCAACAGGATAAAAGAAAAATTAAAACTTAGTAAATGAATTGTAGAATCCCTTCAACGCGTACAACATCTTTTTTCATACAGCACATATACGAAAAAGAAGAAGAGGAGGAAGTGCCAAACTTCTATAGAGGCCTCTTATACACTGACAATGTATATACATCCTTATAAACTGAAAAAATATATAATTATATAACATTATACATAAATATACATATTTGTACACAATTATACATAATTATACAATACTGTATAAGCGTATATAAACACCACGTATAATATTTCCACTAGAAAACATAGTATGTTCAACACTACACTTACTGTAAATAATTTATCAACTTGTATAAACATGCATAACAGTGTATAAGAGGTGTTTGTATATCCATATACACAATTATACACTATTATACAGTGTTGATACAAACTGCTAGATAGTTATAATTTTTTATCCAAGCTTCGAGTTGTAGTAGAAGGTATTGGATGATTCAACTCGTCAATAGGTTAATAATTTTGCGCCAACGATTCGGAATTCAGCAACCGTACAAGATATACCCAATTTCAGATTTGAGACTTCAAGGTCATAACAATGATGACCAAAGTTTCAAGCTTCAAAATCTTCCAAAATTAGTAGTTATTTTTTGGTGCAAATCAAGTTTTGAGAGCTATTTATTTCAAATCTGTGTGTATTTTCATTTTTTTTTTCAAAATCTTCAATATTCTTCTGCTTGCCATCATCAGACTTGGCGGGCTTGGACGACGGAGGAGGAGCCTGAGCCTTCTTCGAGCCATTGATGGCAGAACTCCGTAGGGAGTAGGGGAGGGGGAATAGCGGGGGCTAGATTAAGAGAGAATGAGGGGAAAGAAAGAAGCGAGAGGCGGTGGGAAGAGAATTTGGTGTGCTGGGAATGAAGAAAGAAGAAAATAATAAAAATCCTAGAAGTGTGTCTTTAATAATGAGCTTCTTTCAAGTTACGTACAACATGGGCTAAACCGGGTAAGAACTTCAAATCTGGGCCATTTTTGATTGGGCTATTAGGCCAAGTGACAATGGCTGTAATTCCTTCTATTTCTACTTTAAAAAAAGAAGGCGAAGACATTTTTTCTTCATTGCACGAGCTAGCCAACAACCCACCCCACCCCACCCCCCCACCCCCAAAACCAAACAACAACTTACCTCAACATCTTCTCGACCAAGATCGCTTTGATTGATGTCACGTCACCGTGGGTGTCTACACGATTGACCATCAATATGTTTACAGCTTGGTTCGTGAGAGAGTTTCAGACTATTGAGTAGCAGAGGTTTTAAACCTTTTAGTTGTACTCTGAAAGTGTGTCTAGGGGAGTCTTTATAGCTTGATTAGCTCAAGGGCATACTTTCCATTAGAGTTAGCAGTATGTTGAGCACAAGGCTCAGCGCAACAGGGCATATTTGCCCATACAGTTAGCGGTACGTTGAGCACAAGGCTCAACGCAGTCAGGCATATTTGTCGACACAAATAGCAGTCGTGTATAACTGTATATATACGAGTTTACACAATCAGTGCATAGAATGAACTCATTCGCCTATATGTAAGAGTTTTTATCTCTTCTGTACTATTATATTATTATTATTTGGGAAAAAGACCAAATATATTCCTCAACTTTCGGATATTGTCTACATTTAACCTCAGTTATACTATTTAGCCGAATTTATCCCTATCGTTATGCTATCCAGCCAAATTTATCCATACCATTAGTAAACTTGTAAAAATTACCCCTCAGTTCGTTAGATAACCCAAAATCTCCAAAATTTCTTTTATTTAAATCACTTATTCTTCTTCTTAATCCACTATTTTCAGAAATTACTATTAAGTGAATGTTAAAAGTACTAAACTATACAAAATTATTAGTGGATATTTTTAATTACCATTGTACCTACTTCTCTTCTTGTGATAATGGGTTTGGAATTGGTTTAAATTCTTTATAATTTTTCAACCATATACACATCGCAGAATTCAGTGGGTCTATTTGTTATGTATCATATGGGGATGCTCATCATGTATGCACATGTATATTCCAATATATTTTGTAATTGGTTTGACAATGCTAAGTCTCCAAGAAACTTCAACTTCTATCACTAATACTTGCAAAGTCTCCATACTTGGTGCAAAAAATTCATTAAAGTTGTGGTGTTGTAAATACTTATAGAATTTAGACAAGTTACCTAATTTGGATTCTTCAATTTACTATATTTTATTTACTAACCATTGTATTATTTTAATATTTCTTTCGCTTAATTTTTTTCCAATTAAGAAAGCAGGTAAATACCAACTATGTTGAAGATAGTGGATCAAGAAGAGAATAAGTGACTTAACTAAAATAATTTGGGAGATTCTGGGTCACATGATAGATTGAGGGATAATTTTTAAAAGTTTGCTGATGATAGGGGTAAATTTGGCCAAATAATATAATAGTAAAGGTAAATTTGGCCGAATAGTATAACAGAGGTTAGATGTGGACAATATTCAAAAGTAGAAGGGTAAATGGACATTTTCCCTTATTATTTTTTCATGAATTGTGTTCTCTACATAAAAGTTAGATATGAGTTTTTGTACCTTGTACAAAAACGCAAAGTAAAAATATTCAACTTTAACAATTATATCTGGAAGAATAATGCCATGTCTATATATTTAGACAGCAAAATTAAAAATTGTATACAGATGCTCAGGGGAGGAGGGGTGTGATTGCTCATAATTGTTGTAAAAGACTGAGGAACAATGTATATCAAATTTGCAGTTAAAAAATGAAGGAAACAGATTCCCACTGAATTATTCCTGTTACAGGAACATAAAACAACAACAATCATAACTGTGTACTCAAATCCAAGGAAGAAACTTCACTGTGAGTAAATAATTAAGAGCTCTGTATGGCTGCTAAATTCAGATATCCTTGAAGATGGCAAACAAATCTCCATTGATGTAATCGTTGTCGACAAGGCTAACCAAGAAGTAACTGTTCTGAACCTGTGAACAAAATGAAGAAGCCATTTTATTAATTGACCAAGAGCATACAAGTGATAGTTTCACCGATGGTCCGTCAAAGTAACAAAACTAAACAACAACAAACCCAGTATAATCTCACATAGTGGGGTCTGGGGAGAGTACTGTGTACGCAACCTTACCTCTACCTTGTGGAGATAGAGAGGTTGTTTCCAATAGACCGTCCGCTCAGGGAACAAAGTAAAATAAGACAACTATGCTTATATATCATTGGAATTTAACAAACACCGGGAAAGGTTAGATTTGATCTCGAAAAATCGCAAGTAGGACGCCACATGTATAAAATTGACGTGTAAGTATTGTCACATCAGCAACTTACCTTTAACTAATCCAGGTGGCACCATTGGAAAACGTTTAAAAAACCATCTTTAGACCCACTAAAAAACCCATGACATGACACGTAATGAAAGAGATCAGGTATTCGGTTGGGTGTGAATATATGTTTTCCGGTTCATTTTTTGGTGTGGTGCTACATGAATATTATGTAAGGTGACTTGCAAAAGTAGCAGCCAGCTTGTGTTTCCGAGACCAGATTTAACATTTTCCAGCATTTGTTACAATATGTATGCATAGTTGAGTCCGTTATTAGTTTTATGATTTTGGTGCAACAAACTGAGAATTGGATGAGCATCCGTGAAATTAACTCAGCAAACATACATCACAAAGTAGGACGAATGGAAAAGGGACAAATTTCTGTTATCAAGAAAGAGGAAGTGTGTGAACGTACTTGTTCAAGTAATTTTCTTGATGGATCACTCTCTTGGTATAGTTGAGCCCAACCTCTTGACCAGATTTCAAATGCCTCATCCTTCCATACCATGAAGCTGGCAGGATCGACCACAGTTGGTTGTACAATCTCCTTACCTGGGAAAACTCCCCATGTCACCGCATTGATATCGGTTTGGTTGGCGTTAGAAATCCAGTTTCCTTCCTTGTTCACAGCCATATAGGTAAGGAAGGGGAAAGACTTGCATTTTTCGACAAGAGCATTCAACTTCTCGTGAGAGCAAAAGAACTCCAAGTATGCCTTTTGATAAACATATCCACCAGGACCACCCCATCCTGTAAAAAAGAAGTCAAAAAGCTAAGCAAAACAGGAAGTCTAATATAATCATATCCAGCAAGATGACATGCATTTATATCCATATTCACGAATTATGAAGGAATCAGCATACAATTTAGTGCAAAACCAACATGTTCTAGCAATCGAAAAGTAGGCACTAATTGACAACACGGAGTTAACTAGTGACGGTGGAAAGAAAAGTGGGGGTGAATAGAGCATCCTTGAAATGTGAAGCAGGATGTGGCATAAGGTACTTTGCAGCCCAAAAAGGATTTTGCATTATTATTTATTTCCCAGCCACTTCTTAGAAGGAATTGCAACTTGATTGTTGGGGGAATCAACGGGAAGAAATAAATAAGGTAGATTATTGTATTTCTTCCAAAGCTAGACGACAGTGAACCGAAACATATAGGCACCTCTCCCCACCACCTTCATCTCCCCCCCCCCCCCCAAAACAAACAAATCTGATCTATGTCCATCACTCATGGGACAAAGACTACATAAGGTCCAAGCAAAAGAGCATCTTATGATTGCTGCCAGTTGGCAATTGACTGGCCAGACATAAATGGACAGTTACCCACGGCTAGCAACCAGAGTTTCTTAGAGAAGTCTTGAGATGACAAACAAAGAACGATGTCCCCATAAACCCCATGGCTTTGGTTCAACAGCAAAGGTAGTCAAGCACGGGGATGTGTGGTTGACTCAGGATTCGAAACACGGTTGTTGCACCAACTCTGTTATTTAATTTGAGATGGGAAGAGGGACAGGGCCATTATCCCCGAGTTTTGAAGCTGAAACAGGGGATTTCTCTGGCATCCAAAAAGAAAAAAGATGCCTCTTAAGAAGAATTTTAGGTTTTAAATGGGTCCACCGGCAACCTAGTTAAATCATTAATAATGGGTGATGTCACCAACCAAAACTCTGCAATCAAACCCACAAGCAGTAGGCAGCTAATAAGGTTGGAGGGATGCTGACAGTGGCTAGCAGATAACGTTGTACCCACCACATCACCACATCTAAAACACGGGTACTAAGGAACGAGGAGCTCTGACAAAGCAAGAATTTGCAGAAAACACGTTTAGACATCTGGTATTTGAAATAAAAAGATATAGCTACAGTCATTTGAATGTAAAAGAACAAATTAATCGTCCTGGCATACAGATGAGAAGTTTAAGCATCAAACTTACCAATAGAAGGAGCATCAGATTTTGCTCCATTAACTGCTGGTTGGCTGTTAATAGTCAAGTAACCTTTCGTGTTTATGTTACCCAAATGTTCATCGATGATCTTCGTCTCTGGCTGAAGCCCATCTAACTCAGACCAAGGACAACTTCTCAGCTTCCCAAGACAGTAGTTCATAAATCTCTGATGATGTGAAAATTTCGTTAGGACTTGGAAATGAGTCTGATTTTGACATTAATTTCACTGTAATTCAAAATCATACCCCATAGATGTCTTCCACACTGTTGAGAGCAACAGCCCATTCCTCTTGAAGTTTCTTATCACGTGAACGTGCCCTCATGAACTGTTGGAAAGTAACAATGAAGCTATATCAGAGGTAACCGAGGTAACTAAAACACTCTAGACCAAATGCACGAAGTTGGCAGTTTGTATCTTCAATTTATACTTATTTTGGTTTGATTTACGATGGAAACTATTATATCTGAATAATGTTGGGCAAAGTTTCCCAAGATGGATTATGAAAGCAAAAGATGTGCAGGAATAAATGGCATAGCTTAATTAGGTAGAAATAAAAGCTTAGAAACAATTGTAAAAGAGCAAAATGGTCATCTTAGGGTGATCATTTTGTCGGCTACTCCTATTACACTCGTATTCTCTGAAGGATGAGAACCAACTATCTAGCATCTAAATTGAGAATTCAAGTATTGTGTATGTACGTAGTCTGATCAGTCCAGGACACAAACAGTTCTCCTTGGACTTAAATCGAATAATTATATTACTATGACTTTGTTTGGCCTACTTTAGCCTCAAAAAAGTTTACAGCTCCACAAGTAAAATGGAATGAACAAAATCCTTATTCATCTTGCCCAAACCAGACTTTATCCATGTTATAGCAATATGACTAAAAAGGAAACAGAACAAAGGGGCTTCAGCAATGCTCTAGGATTACGTGGTATCCTATACTATCTTTTGTTTTACCTCATAACTATTACTCTTAGTATTCTTCAACTAGTTAAGACTCTTAGACATCAAAAAGTATGATCTCAATCAGTGGCAATCACCTGATAATCACTAAGTGCTCCATATGATGGATTTTGAGCATTGCCCCATCGCCCATGTGGATACTCATCCCAACCAATGGTCCTTGAAATGTAGCTCTTCGGACGGTTGGCCCTGCATCAACGCAAATAACAGATCAGCTGCTAATCACAACAAGGAGCGATATTTCGATATTGCTTTGTATCTCTACATACCAGAATATAGGACGGACATCTTCTTTAACACGGAAAACATTTGTAGGACGTCTCCAAGGTAATGGCCTTGAAATTTTGGACTCTTCTATCAATCCAAGATTCTGCATATCACAAACAACTCACAACTGTAAGCAAAATTCATGCTATTTCTAAAATCATATCACTATTTCATTATATTTCAAAGCAGCAATTACAAGGTAAGAGAATTAACCATCAAGATGGCTAGTGCTGATTTCTCCATGTTTAATGTATAGAGATGCAAGGTCTTAATGCCAGTGGCCAAAATCTTCTTGCACATTTCAGTCGCTTGGTGAATTCCATAAGCTTTGACAGCTTCTTCATTATCCTTAATCGGTTCCAAGGCAGCTGTAATATCTGCTGGGATCTATAATGTCATTAAGAAAGAAAAATGAGCATCTGCAATGCAGGAGAAGCTAAACATCACGGAGACAATCAACTTGTGTCTTAATCAAAGACATCATTTTTACTGAACATAAAATTACAACAACGGATCACAAAAGCGTCACCAAGTATATACAGAAAAAAATGGATGCTCGACAGAACATGTACATGTGGTTGACCTAAGAAACATCAAGGAGAAAAATGTTGGATCTAAAACATTTGGTCAGAGTAAAATGAGCTTCCAGTTAGCATGTCTACATATAGCACTTGAACAAACATCTTCAAGCGATGCTGCAAACTAAGTTCGGGTTCAAGGGCCCATATCTCACAAAGCATCTTAAACCTTAAGTTAAAAGTTTCGTAACATTATACAAGAAAAAGGCACCAATAGGATAGTACCTAACAGAATATTGTGTAATATCACATTTCAAAATTGTTGGCGTTATCATGCATTGATATATGTATAAAGCATCATTTTGAGCCCGCATGTAGAGACATAAATTAACACTTAGAAAAAGATCATACAATAAATAAGGGAATACCTTGGTTTTGCAAAAACCAGTCATGCGCAAGAAGCCCTTATAATTGTTGATGGGCATGATTCCCGGGACAATAGGACAAGTTATCCCAATTTGACGACAATCATTGACAAACTTGAGGAAAATATCAGTATCATAGAAGAGTTGAGTTACAATGAGATCAGCTCCAGCATCAACCTGAAGAATGCAAGTTTGCATAAGTATCAGAAACTTAAAAGCGAAACAAAAGCACTCCACTTTTCTTCTTCACTGTAGATTAATGCAACATACATCATATTCACCCCAAGATGAAACGTAATGTTGGGAATAACTACCTTCTTTTTGAGATAGGCAAGGTCATTTTCATATGTCTCTTGTGTAGCTATTCCACTAGCAGGTATAACATCAGGATGTGCCTCTGAGAAGCAATCACATCGTCAATAACAGCATAAGAATCAAAGAAAAATTTATGAAAATTTGTGCAGAAGAAAATCATAATCCGCAGTCAAAAACAAAACCAAAAAAGAAGCAATTGAAATGCGACGAACTTTAATTATAATTCTGTTGTTCCATTTTATATGTCAATATTTGACTAGAAACTAGTTTAATGTATGATCCATATCTTATATTTGCAATAGTGAAACAAAATAGTAAGATAATGGCTCAAAAGTTCGTTTCATCGAGAAAAATAAAAGTTTAAACTTTTGAATAATCTAATGAATGAATTCTTGAAAAGTTGTGAAAGTAGTTTAGAAGTATAATAGAACAACCATTGTTGCCCAGTCAAAAACCAAAAGAGTATCATAGATATTGAAAAAAAAGGAATAATTAAATACACCAAAAATCCCAGGAAATCGGGAACCAACCTGGGTAACCTGCGACAGTTATCCCGAAGTAGTCCCCATACTTGGCCCGCATGTGTTTTACCTGCAAAGGAAGACAAAATCAATCAAATTCTGCACAACAGTTATAGCAGTAGAACGAAGAATTTCTGTATGAGCATAATCAATCAGATCCCAGACCAAAGACTACAAATAATGAACCTAAGCAGGACTCAGGATTTAGATCCTATGAGTTCAGAATGGACTTGGCCATCATATATCTAAAGTTTAAATTTCTTTTCCTATGTATATAGGTTTCAATCTAAAAGCAATGTGTTCACTTAAAACTGCTGCAAACAATGTGTTCAAAAAGAATTACTGTATGAGACTAAAATCAGATCCCAGATCAAGACTACAAATAATGAACCGATTCACTATTTAGATTCAACGGATTCACAGTAGACATGGCCATCATATATATAAAGTTCGATTATTTTTCATATGTGTACATGTTTCAAGAAGCTAAAAGCAATGTATTCAGTTGAAACCACGCAATGTGTTCATTTGAAACTATTGCAAACATCAGCGGATGGACCATATAGTCAATGGGTTCAACTTCGCCAGTATTTTCAATGCGGAACATAGATATATATTACAAAAATTTCAACAAATATTAAATTTTTGAATCCATAATTTAGAAACTGAAATGGGGTTCAATATAAGAACCTAAAGGTTGAATCCATCAAATTTAAAAGCTTGGATCCAAATGTGGATAGGGGACATAAGGAGGAATTACCAGATCTAAGGCACAGGCAAAACCACCTTCAACTTGAACAAACTTATCTTGTCCATGAGGAGGATCACCGCGAAGAGCAAGAACATTCTGAATCCCATTAGACTTGATAGTTTCAAGGGCATGATCAATTTTCTCAACAGGCATATTCGTACAAGTCAAATGCATCATGGTTTCAACACAAACCATGTTCTGCATTCTGTTTGCAATCTCAAGTGTCAGATCTGCTGTTGATCCACCTGTACCCCACGTACAACAACAACAACTATGCATTAATACCAAATAAGTCGGCAGCAGATCTACATTGTTACATGTGGTTCACGTGAATCAAGTAGCTTTTGACTAGACCCTATATATGTATCAAGAAATCAACTAAAAACCTATAAATATTTGACTGTGAAACAGTTCTTATTGTATATTAACTTGAAGCTCATAAACTTCGAATCGTGGATCTGCAATTATGAATCCTCACTGATCATGTTTCTCCATTTAAGTTAATCTCACGCAAACAATATACTAAAAGAAAATGATATAAGAATTATTACCTGCACCCCATGTAATATCACAGAAAGAGGGATTGTGTGACACCATTCTTTCCATTCTTTCGAACAAATTATCAACCCCATCTTCAGTTTTTGGGGGAAAGAATTCAAAGGAGAAAACTACTCTGTCAGTTTTGGCGGATTCGTGAATTTTGTCAATTACCTTCATTTTTGCAGGGAAAGAAACAATGTTAATGAAATGGAGGGTATTAGGAGAAGGGTTTGTGAAAATGGATACAGGGGATGAAGAGAAAGGAGGGGTTGAAGTATATAGGTAGAAGATGAGGCGAGTTGGTGAGGGTGGTGGGTGATGTACGGCTACAAAGGGAAGACTGTAGGAAAGATCCAACAACCTTTGTGGCCCCGTCGTGAAATCTACCAACTACTTTGTATTGACTTTTGTAGGGTCACCAAGTTTTTATACTTCACTTTTTTACAAAGCATTGTTATTTTTAGTTTTTTTTGTTATAAATACAATTCTATTTAACGTGAATGTCTATATTTTAGAGAGACTATAGGGTTTATTACTTGGTAGTTAAGTCACTTTTTTCCTATAAATAGAGGAAAGAATTACAAAAAAATACACATGACTTCACACCATAACAAAAAATGGCCCATATTTTTAAGTTTTACCCTACCTAGCCCATATTGTACATATTTTGAAAGCATTAGCAAATTCAAAATCTGTGTTCTTACAATCATTGCTTCTAAAACCTACGGAGTTAAATCTCACAACCATTGCTTTCACTCTCTCTTCTTCTCACATCTTCTACATATGCTTCAAGGGGCCGTGTATTTTCTGCTTTTGCAATGTTAGAGAATTGAAGAATAGAAGTTCACCATTGAAGGTCATTCAAAGCTTTGCTTTCGAAAATAGAATTATTTGAGTTTGTTAGTTGTTTGGATTGAGGGTTGTTCCAATTGATTGAAAATATCAAAAGGAGTTCAAAATTTAAATTTGAAGTGATTTGGAGTAGATTTGAGTTAAATTTCATAAAAGACGCAAGGTAGAAGACGAAGTCAGTTTTTTGTATAATCTTGTATAATAGTGTATAAACACATCTTATACACTATTATACACATTTATACAAGCGTCTGTAGACGAACTTCTTCCACGATTTTCAGTTACAATTCTTGTTCAAAACTAGTCCAAATCTCCATTAAATGACTTTAAATTTTATATACAACCTCCTTATACTATTTCTAACAAGTCTAAATAACACCCACCCTAAATTTCTCACAAAATCAAATTCAAAATTTAAACCCACATATTTAAGCTTGTTAAAAATCTAATTTTCACCACCCAGATGGATTTGGTTTGTTGAACTAATATTTGAGTCATAATTACTGATTCAAAAATTAACTTAAAAGCTTGAGCATTCTTTTTTAAAAATTAAATAGTAATTTCAAGAATCTATTGGGGTTGAATGTTGAGTATTAGCCTATTATTTTTGGGCTAGTTGGTTGTAAATTGAAATATGGGCTATAAAATTGAAAAGTAGGAAGCCCAGTTGTTCTTATGTGAAATTTTCCCTAAATAGAGGGGATCTATTCCATTGTAAATCATCCCAAAATCAATAAGAATCCTCTCTCTTTACTTTTCTGTGCAATGCTTCTTCTTCTTTTATTGTTCATAACATGTTATCGGCATGAGACTCTAACCAATTGATTAGAAGCTTTAGGATTGAGCATAATGATTGTCAATTGTTCCATGAACTTCCTTCATGATTAAATTCTGGATTTAAGGTAAGTATTTTACCGTATTTTTCTCTTTTATTCTATAATTGATTTTAAATACAAGCAAAGACAATAAATTTTGATTATAACTCTAATGGAGTTAGAAAGAAATTATAACCACTCGAAGTGGTAAAATTTCTCTGTCTTGTCATGATCAAATTCATGAATGATTGTGGGCAAAGAAGTGGAAACCCGTCCCATTGAATTTGCTTCATTCTCATTCCCTTAAGAGAATGTGGTAGCAATATGTAATAAGTCTGAAAGAAGAGAAAATTATTACCGTAAAGATATCAATGGATGTGGACGTGGTAATAGACAAAATTATAATCATCATTATCGTGGTAATGAGAATAATAAGGATTCTCAAAATAATCTTTTACTCCGTGAAAGTAATGTTGTCATCAATTTGACATGAGATTTTGTAAAGCACATATAGATGATTATGATCCATTCATGATGTGAATGTGACAACATGTGATTTATGAGTACATATTCATTATTGGAATAATATGAATGTACTAGTGGTATTGAATCTACCACACTTACCTCTAGAAGGAGGTTTAATGTAACGACCCGACCGGTCGTTTTGAGTTCTAGCGCGTCGTTCAGCAGTTTGAGGCCATGAGCAACTTCATTTCAGGTATTATGACTTGTACGCATGGTCGGGATTGAATTCTGGGAAGTTCGGAGTTGATTTGGAAAGAGAATTCTCATTTCGGAAGCTTTAAGTTGAAAGAATTGACTAAGATTGGATTTTTGAGTAAACGACCTCGGAATCGGGATTCGAAGGTTCCAGCAGGTTCGTATGATGATTTTGGACTTGGGCGTATGTCCGGATCGGGTTTCGGAAGACCCAGGAGCATTTCGGCACCTATTGTGGAAGTTAGCATTTTTGGAGGAATTTCATAAGTTTCGGTTGAAGTGCATTTCAGTGTTATCAATGTCTGTTTGGGATTTCGAGTCTGGGAATAGCTCCGTATGGTAATTTTAGTGTTGGGAGCGCGATCGAAAGTGAATTCGGAGGTCGTGGGTCATTTTGGAGTCATTTGGCTAAAGATAGAAATTTGAAGGTTTTTGAGAAGTTTGACCTGGAGTGGATTTTTTGATATCGGGGTCGGATTCAGATTTCGGAAGTTAGAGTAGATCCGTAATATCGAATATGACTTGTGTGCAAATTTTGAGGTCAATCGGACGTGATTTGATAGGTTTCGACATCAAATATAGAAGTTTGGAATTATAAAGTTCATTAAGCTTGGATTGGAGGTCGATTCATGATTTTAGCGTTGTTTGATATGATTTGAGGCCTCGAGAAAGTCCGTAATGTGTTTTCGAACTGGTTGGTGTGAACGGACGGGGTCCCGGGGCCCCCGGGTGGATTCCAAGTGGTTAACGGATCAATTTTAGAATTTGAAGAAGAAGTGATCAGCTGCCTTCTAGTGTAACCGCACCTGTGAGGCTTGGGCCACAGGTGCGGAGCCGCAGAAGCGGCCCTTGGGTCGCAGAAGCGGAATTGGGCCGGCCAGGCTGGGACCGCAGATGCGGTCGATTTGTCGCAGATGCGTGACCCATCTGCGGAAGGAGAAGCGCAGATGCGGAAGCTGAGGCTTGGAGGAGGACCGCAGAAGCGGATGGTAGTTCGCACGTGTGGAACCGCAGAAGCTGTCAAGTGACCGCAGGTGCGGAAATGCTGGAGGCAGTAAGGTTGTTTAAAACGGGGATTTAGCTCATTTCAACCCCATTTCCTCCATGGGAGCCGATCTTTGGGCGATTTTGGAGCTCCATCTTTGTCATTCATGTCAAGGTAAGTGGTTTCTACTAGTTTTGAGTTAAATACTTAGATTACATATGGATTAGAGCATGAAAATTAGTGAAAATTGTGGGCTTTTGGTAGAAGACCTAGAAAATTATATTTTGGATTTTTACCACGATTTACGACATGAAATTGAGAGTAAATTATATATTTGAGTTCGTGAAGCCATGGGTAAACTTTATCTTCGAAATTTTTTGGAATCCGGGCACGTGGGCCCGATGGCGTTTTTATCAACTTTTCGATCGGGGTTAGGAATTGTTATAAATTGGATTATTATGAGTAATTGAACATATATTAATGGATTTTCATAATTATTGGCTAGTTTTGGAACGTTGTGCATCAATTTAAGTCTTCGGAAGGGCGTGGAATGCCGGTTATGGAACTTCGGAGCGAGGTGAGTCTCCTTTCTAACCTTGTAAGAAGGAATTGTCCCATAGAAGAATTAAATAGATTTGTGCTCCTATTTGTGGGGGCTACGTACGCACGAGGTGAAGAGAGTCCGTGCGTAGCTACTATTATGTTTAGGTCCGGGTAGTCTAGGACCCAAAAGCATGCTATACTTGGAATAATTATACTCTTATTAACAGTTTGAATTGCTTAAATCATATCGAATTAGTAAATGAATTTCTAAAAAGGATTAAACTTCATTTCTTTGAATTGTTAAAAGAGAATTGGCTTTTCTTTGGATAAATTGCTCCTTGATGAGTTCTTTATTGACTGTTGAATGTGTTTATATATTGTGGAACGGGCCAAACATCTCAGTAGATTAAATAGATGCATCTATAGTTCGCGCCATTCGACCCTCTGGCAGTGCACAATTTAAATATTGTTGGATCGGGCCGTACGTCCTCGGCATGATTTGCGCATGCTTGTATTGCTTGCCTTGAAATTTATTGAAGTTGATATTGTTTCTTCTCGATTTGAAAATACATGTGTAAATGATGAAAAAGAAATTTGGGAATTCCCTATGAAAGAAAGAATTGTTTACTTGCTTCATTCTATTGAATTACAATCATGTTTATAGAAATCCTCGATTAATTATATTATTGACGCATCATTATTGGACCACTAGTAAGTGTCAAGTCGATCTCTCGTCTCTACTTCTTTGGGATTAGGAGGGACACTTACTGAGTACACGTTATTTTCGTACTCATGCTACTTGCTGTGCATTTTTGTTGCACAGGCACCTGCATCTCTAGCGGCCTAGTGGACGTAGCAGCATGGTTGATACAGAGACTTAGGTGAGCTGCACTTCTCGAGATGACCCGCAACCAGCAGAGTCTCTTTCAGTTTTCCACATTTATTATCTGTCCTATTTGTATTCCCGGATAGTTGTTGTATTATTTTGTTTCCTAGAGATAGCTCATGCACTTGTGACACCAGATTGTGGAATGATTATGGGATTTGTTTAATATTGAGTTTGTTAAAAATATCAATATCTATTCAGTAAAACTTATTACTTATTGTTTCATGTACAAAAGGAATGATTTCGAAAATGTTAAAACAAGAAATTTCAAGTAAATTGTTGTTGGCTTGCCTGACAGTGGTGTCCGGCGCCATCACGATCGTTAGTGGATTTTGGATCATGACAACATGGTATCAGAGCCCTAGGTTCCCTTAGGTCTCACGAGTCATGAGCAAGTCTAGTAGAGTCTCGCGGATCGATACAGAGACGTCTGTACTTATCTTCGGGAGGCTACAGGGCTGTTAGGAGTACTTCCCTTCTTGATTTCCTCATCGTGCGATTTGATTCCTTTGAGGCTTATGCCTTTGTTTCCTTCCCAATCGATCTTATGCGACGTGAAGCGCTTATTATAA